TATTCGCTTGGTTCTTGAAAAAGAATGGTAAAACATAACACAATATATTATGAGGAGCAGACTTACTAAATACAGTTTGTCCATTTTTTTAAGATTTTCAACCCAAGGTGGCATTGCAAACTACACACACAGAGTTACAATATTATGTGAGAAACGACATTCTAAATTCATTTTATCCTATTCGAATTAAATGGCGAAAATACCTTAGACTTTCTATGTGATGTATGTCCATTGGCGGTAGACAAACAGAAGTATGTCCTTTTATACTGTGGACATACTGCTGTTTGTTTGGCATTGCCAGATGAAGAGTATTTTTTTTTCTACAATTTCTTTTTTTATTTTTTAATAATTCTACTTAAAATAAAATGAATGGAACCACAACTGGAGATCATATAGTTGGAGATACGGACCGTGGCGCGGTAGCAGAAAAATTAGAGAAATTTCACGTCTAAAGGACAGTCAGTAGTTTCAATTTTTTCGTAAATCAACAAAACTATATTTTCAGATATAGGTGTAATATTTTTATAATTCTGTATCCATTTTTTTCTTCTTCTTCTTCTAATGCGAATCCATTAATGGATGTTTGCGATGACATTTTCCATCGCTTCTCTATTCCTGGCGGTGTTTATTAACGACTGTACGTCGTGTAGGCCTGTCCACTGTCTAACATTTCTCAGCCAAGACATTTTCTTCCTTCCGATACCCCTCCGACCTTCGATCTTGCCTTCGATTAACACATGCAAGAATTGATATTTGGGGTTTCGCATTATGTGCCCCAGGTATGCGGTTTTTTTCTTCTTAATCAATTCAAACAATTCGCGCTGTTTGTTGACATGTCTCAGGACTTCCTCATTTGTTAACCTAACCGTCCAAGGTTGCGATACAGCTACATCTCGAAAGCCTCTAGTTTATTAATGGCAGCTGCTTTCAATGTCCAACCTTCCGTACCATAAAGGAGCACCGACCACACGTAACACTTTACGAATCTTAATCTGAGGTTAAGGTCAAATTCAGAACAGACAAGTACCTTTCGGAACCTCAAGAATGCCTGCCGAGCGACATTTAATTTCCTTGTCTGATGTCCAATCTTCGGAGAGCCAGATGCCCAAGTACTTAAATTTATCTACCCTCTCTATGGGTCTTGTATTAAATGTTATAATGGAGTTTTTCAACACATCTGGATTTCTGGATATTATCATAAATTTAGTTTTCTTGATGTTTATGTTTAAACCCATTACTTTACTCTGTTCTCCTACCTTGTTGACCAGTTGTTGTAGATATGTATATTGACTGCAATCAAGACCTTATCGTCGGCGTAGCAGATGTTATTAATCCACACTCCGTTAACTTTGACTCCCATTTCCACATCCTCTAGAGCCTCTTGGAAAATAGCCTCTGAGTACAAATTGAATAGGAGTGGAGACACGCAACCCTGTCGCACCCCCCCTTCTAACTTGTATGGGATTGGACATGGTATTGGCCAATTTTATTTGTGCTGTTTGGTTCCAGTACAAGTTTTCTATGCATTGTATGTCTTTTTGGTCTATATCAAGCCTTTTGAGCAGCTGCATTGATTTGTTGTGTTGCACGCGATCGAATGCCGAATGTCTATGAAACACAGGCACACATCCTTTCTCTGATCGTAGCAGTTCTGGACAAGTACCTGTGTTGCAACTTTCGCTTCCCTTGTACCTAACCCTTGCCTGAACCCCATTTCTGAATCGCTTATGTCCCTTTCACATTTTTTGTAAATTCTCTGGTGTATGATTTTCAGAAATATTTTTAGGGTATGGCTCATCAGGCTGATAAGTCTATGATCTTCACATTTTCTGGCATTGGCCTTCTTAGACAGGGGGATATGGGCCTTCTTAGACAGGGGGATGTTTGCGACGACATTTTCCATCGCTTCTCTATTCCTGGCGGTGTTTATTAACAACTGTACGTCGTGTAGGTCTGTCCACTGTCTAACATTTCTCAGCCAAGACATTCTCTTCCTTCCGATACCCCTCCGGCCTTCGATCTTGCCTTCGATTAACACATGCAAGAATTGATATTTGGGGTTTCGCATTATGTGCCCCAGGTATGCGGTTTTTTTCTTCTTAATCAATCCAAACAATTCGCCATGTTTGTTGACACGTCTCAGGACTTCCTCATTTGTTAACCTAACCGTCCAAGGTATCTTCAGAATTCTGCGATACAGCTACATCTCGAAAGCCTCTAGTTTATTAATGGCAGCTGCTTTCAATGTCCAACCTTCCGTACCATAAAGGAGCACCGACCACACGTAACACTTTACGAATCTTAATGTGAGGTTAAGGTCAAATTCAGAACAGACAAGTACCTTTCGGAACCTCAAGAATGCCTGCCGAGCGACATTTAATTTCCTTGTCTGATGTCCAGTCTTCGGAGAGCCAGATGCCCAAGTACTTAAATTTATCTACCCTCTCTATGGGCCTTGTATTAAATGTTATAATGGAGTTTTTCAACACATCTGGATTTCTGGATATTATCATAAATTTAGTTTTCTTGATGTTTATGTTTAAACCCATTACTTTACTCTGTTCTCCTACCTTGTTGACCAGTTGTTGTAGATATGTATATTGACTGCAATCAAGACCGTATCGTCGGCATAGCAGATGTTATTAATCCACACTCCGTTAACTTTGACTCCCATTTCCACATCCTCTAGAGCCTCTTGGAAAATAGCCTCTGAGTACAAATTGAATAGGAGTGGAGACACGCAACCCTGTCGCACCCCCCCTTCTAACTTGTATGGGATTGGACATGGTATTGGCCAATTTTATTTGTGCTGTTTGGTTCCAGTACAAGTTTTCGATGCATTGTATGTCTTTTTGGTCTATATCAAGCCTTTTGATCAGCTGCATTGATTTGTGGTGTTGCACGCGATCGAATGCCGAATGTCTATGAAACACAGGCACACATCCTTTCTCTGATCGTAGCAGTTCTGGACAAGTACCTGTGTTGCAACTATCGCTTCCCTTTTACCTAACCCTTGCCTGAACCCCATTTCTGAATCGCTTATGTCCCTTTCACATTTTTTGTAAAGTCTCTGGTGTATGATTTTCAGAAATATTTTTAGGGTATGGCTCATCAGGCTGATAAGTCTATGATCTTCACATTTTCTGGCATTGGCCTTCTTAGACAGGGGGATAAAAGTAGAACGCAACCACTGTTTGGGGTAGTGACCTGTCTCATATCCATTTTTTTAGTATACCAGTTTTTCGGTAAGTTTCACTTAAAAAAGCATAACACAAGCAAAAAGCATAGCAGTTTTTCTTTAACTATCAAAATTCGAAAAAAATGGACAAAATGCATCTAGAAAGTCTGCTCCTCGTATGTGCAGCCTCATTGGCAGTATGAACATGACGACTCCAGACAATTTAAAGCAGCTGGGGGAGGCAATACAAAGGATTAGAGTATTTTTTACAAGTTTCTTGTTTGTTTGTAGACTTAATACAGTTATGTTTTTTTTAATATCCTTAGTTCTGTAAGTGTTACTTGAACCAAGTCTGTATCGTTAGTTTTTCACGTTTTTTTAAATGTTAATATAGAGTTCTAATGCAGTGTCGATATGATATTATGACAAAGCCACCTCGTGATATTTAAAAATTAAATCATAAAGTAATAATAAGTGAAAAAATTGCAAATTGTTGGTGGCAAGTTCATTTCCCTCTTAAAAATTAACAAGGCATGTGTTGACAAGAGTCAAAATACAAAATGTTCAGGAAACATGATTCTGATCGAAAAATAATTTTTTAGGAAAAGTTTCTTACGAAATTATTGCACAGTGTGTTTTAAAGTTCAAAAGAAGATAAAAAAACAACCCTTCAATAAACCCTCTATAATACTAAAGTTTATAAAAAACTAAGTATATAAATTAAAGTTGATAGATTCATATACAGTTTGCTAAAAAATTATGAAAATAGGGCTAAAAATAAAAATATAACACTTTAAACTTGACGAAAAAAATTTTGATGCGTTTCTTTGCATCTGACTGTATATGAATCCAGTGCAACAAAAAGTCGGCATAGAGTCCGATTTTCTTCTGATCTAATAATTTTTTTTAACTCTGGTAGGTTTTTGTAATTTTAATTACATTTTTCAAAAATATTTACTATATATTCTTATTACTAATATTAAAAGTGATTTTACAGATCGACAAAATAAAATTGTATTTGTAATATGCTATTTATTCTTAAAAATACAGTTTTAATATGACAGTCCGTATAAAATGAGATCTATTTATATTATTTAATTTTTCTTATTTTAGATACATTTTTGTTTTAAAAATTCTACTAAATAATATCAATAAATATCATTTTATATTCTCAAAATATTAAATATTTTATTTCATGAAATCTATTTGAATTATAGTTGCTCTCAAAAAAAATCGTTTGAAGTTTAAATTTGATGTTAAATTTCTTTCATTAAAAGTAAAATATTAATATTACATTTTATAAACTTTTTGATATTTTTTAATTATAAAACTGAAATATAAGGGTTTTATGGTAATCTTATTTTTGACACGCAAACGTTGGTAAAAAATTATATTTTTTATATAAAACATAAAATCCTTGCTGAATTCAAGCCCACAATATTCTTTCATCTCTAATATTTTTCCTGTTTTATTAAATGCGAATTTTTATATTGTGTAAAATTTCGTTCTGTTATAGTTAATTTATGGATGAGTATCTAAAAGAAAGAAAAGTTATATAAAAATAGCATCCTCTTTAATCCGGACTTTGTAGCACTTGATTGGGAATTTTTAGTAAAATTATTTTATTTTAGGTATACTATTTTTGAATAGGTAATATTTCACGATACATTTTAGCCCATACTATCGCAAGAATCCAGTTTGTTTTAGACAAATACTGAGAGATCTTTATTTGTTTTGCTTTTATTTAGTTTATGCCAGTAGATAACTGATCTGCAATATTTCTTATTATTGTTGTTTTCCATTGTTACCTTTGCCCGCATAGTGCAAAAAGAAGAAACGGGAAAGACTGCGTTTACTATCCCGACCGCAGCCCATAACTGGACCAATTTGTACTTGTTATCTCTCCAAGAACGACAAGAACGGAATGGAGATGGCTGGTGGCTACATCGCTGATATCGATTCTGATTAAAAATCTGCGATCAAAACACTTACTTACACAGCTTTGTTCTTCACTTAAGTTCCACTCCTTATTAAAACACCTGGCCTTACCTACCAAAGATACTTCTTTTGAGTTCAAGCGCAGGCACTAGCTACGAACTGACGGAACCTGCCCCTATACATTAAATGGTACATACTATTTTTTACACTTTTTTCAAGCGATGTGTCACACTTGTGTACCACCGGCTTTTTATCAAATATTTACACATACTAGATGTGGTGTTTTTATTTTTCATTTTAATTACTGTGTTATTAAAAACATTTTAACGTGTTTTATACAAACACCCTAAAAAGAAACCTTAAAGTGTTATAAATAATTTATTTTTATATTTTAAATAACTAGTAATGAATATTGAGTTGTTAACTTACACGAGGCGACAGGTTTATTAATATTAATCTGTTAAGTCCTCCAAATGAACTTATTGCTATACTGCAGAATATTTGCCAGATAGAGAGATAAACTGTAACTAGTTGATAAATGGTCGGCAGAGTTAATGAGCTCATATCGATCTGAAAATACATTATTCAGAGCAAGGCATAAATGCTGGTGTATGAATAGAAATGTCATGAGACTTTTAGTTGGCTGCTTTTAGTTGGTTAACTGCCTACGTTAAGTAAACACAATAATTAGTAATACTGTAGTAATAAATTTACATATTAGAAGTGTATTACATATTACAACTTTATTTTTCATCAGTATAATATTAACTAACATTTTTTTTAATAAATCTTCATAAAAGTTGCGTCTACGGTACTAGTAGATATACAAGTTTTGCAAACAAATTTAAAGAAATAAGAGCCAGGTTATGCGTTATTACGTGTATATTTATTTCAAAAGTTTAATAATTTTAATGAGGGACAAAAAGATTTTTGAAATTATAAGAGGGTCTTAAAATTAACTTGAAAGAATTATTTTAAATAAATTAAAGATTTGTTAAGAAGATTGGTCATATAATAACTACAAACCGTACAATATTATAAGGTTTCCGAAAAAAACAATTTTCATCATAATTTTAGGAATTGTGATAACCATTTTCTTGTAAATAAAAATATTTTCAAAAATTTAAGAAGTTTCAACCGACAAAGAATATTTTTGTGTTGCATATTCATGAACTAAAATAATTATTAATAACGTAATAATGATATTATAAACAATATTTTTATTAAAATTGTCAATATAAAAAAAATCATGTTTTATAGGACACAAATGAGATAGTGTTTGTATTAAAAAAAATATTTTTTTTTAGTTATCGTGAAAATATCGTTCAGGATGATGAAAACAAATTCTGGTAAAGTTGGAGCTTTTAATATTAATATTAAGAGGTGCATCATCGTTATTTTCTCTTTCCCGTTTAAAAAATAAGGAATTTTTTTTTCTTTAGAATTTTATTGCATTCTAACAAATCAGCGTTTTGTAAAAATCAATACATATTCTGGTAGGAAATTGAACGGTCTTCAAAAAAGGTCTGACATGAATGTTCATTTAATCGACTCGTTTGAAAGTTATTGAAGGTTAAACTTCAACTTCAAATCATATATGATTCCTTCCACAATTATTTATATTTTCTCACCAAATGGCCCAAAAACATAAAATATGATAATTTAGGTGTTTGAGCCATTATTTCGTGATAAAATATGATAGTTTATGTTTATAAGTCAATATTTCGTGATAAAATATAAAAATTGTGGAGCTTATCATATACGATTTGAAGTTGAACTTTAACCTTCAATAACTTTCAAACGAATCGATTAAATGAAAATTTATATCAGACCTTTTTTGAAGACCGTTTAATTTTATACAAGAATATGTATTGATTTTTACCAAACGCTAAAAAAGAACGCAATAAAATTCCAAAGAAAAAAATGTTTCCCCTCGTTATTTAAACGGGAAATAGAAAATAACGATGAGGCACCTCTTAATATTAATATTAATAATTATTTTTTATACAAGACGATAATGCAATTTTACCGTCGTGTATAAAACAATATTTTTTTCCATAGCGAGTTACGTTTTAAAAAAAATCAGAAATCGTTATTTCAAGGAATTTATTGCGAGTAGAAAAAATATTGTGCTGGGATGGCATTGCTTTCTATGTAATTTGACAAATAAATAAAGCTGTCTCTTTTGTTGTCAGTTTTGAGTCAATATTTTTTAATTCTCTTTCGTGTCGATTGCTGATTGAATTTGAGCCAGAAATGGCTCAAAAGGAAATAAGTAAATTACCAACAGATATTCAGGCTGAGGCGACAAACGCCATATCCAAACTACTTCCATTTAAATCCCGAATAACTTATAAAAAGGAATACAAAAATTTTCAAAAATGGAAGCAATTAAAAAACGTGCAATAAGAAATAAAGTTTTTAACCTATCCTCGCTGTTAAAGTATCATTTAATCTACCCTTGCGGTTAAAGTACTATTTTATCTACTGTTTTTGATAGATATAAGGCAATTTTAACAGTTGCATTGGAAAAAAAGCTCAAACTTTACCAGAATTTTTTTCATCATCCTGACGATATTTTCACAGTAATTAAAAAGAAAAAAATTTTTTTTTTGTGCACTATAGTATGTAAAATATATTTTTGTAACAAATAACGAATATTATTTTTTTAGTAACTCTAGATAACGATTTATCTATACCCTACCACAACTTTATTGTTGGCAAAAAAGTTAGTGCCAGATATTTTACACAATAGAAAATAAACTGAAACTCGTATGATAAATGTAGGAAAAGGTAGTGATTTCATCTCAATATAAAAAAGGCATTATGCCGAGCATATCATAAATGCTGGTGAGTGAACAAAAAATCCATTAAACCTTTTTAATATCTAATACATACCTATACATATAATTTTTTACCAAAAAATTTACATAAAATTTTAGTAGCCATCTTCTGGATATAAATATTGAACAGGAGACACAAAACTAAGTTTGGGCCTAAAGGAGATTTTCCGATATTTCAAAATCATATAAATTTGGATAACTAAAATTAAAAATGTAGAAAGTCTTGAAGTATTAAAAAATTTTCTATGGAAACCACAATCTGTTTTACAACGAAATTGATTAGGATGAACATAGACCAAGTACATTTCTAAATATAGCACTGACAAAAAATAAACAAACACAAAATATTTTAAACATCAAACACACAATTAAACTGTTTTAGCTGTATCTTCAGAATAAAATTAAAAATTAGCTTAATTAGATGTTTCGACATCATTTTTAAATAGGGAAATAAATGAAGATATGTACAGTATGTCCCCGGATTGTCTTTAAAAGAGGAAAATCACTTTTATTATTGACATTTTGAGAAAAATGCATTCTTCATAAAAGTTTTTGCTTATTTTAAAATGGTTAATCCCGTTTATACTTTTCCAAATATCCATACCGTTTCAAGAAAATTAAAAAAAAACATGAAAATATAGTTGAATTTTTTCTAAATTCTAAAAATCAAAAGGCGTTTCTGTGGTAATACAACTTCGTTTTCATTCTTTGATAGATTGTTATCCATATAATTTTAATTAATGTAATGTTTTTTGTTGTTTTAAAACGTCAAAGAAGAACAAAATTTATTTAGTTTAATGCCAAGGAAAGGATAATTATAGTTTAATGATATTTTACCAACAGCAAGGAATATGACATTAATCAAAATTAATAATAACCATCTATCAAAAAATGAAATCGACTTGGTATTACCTTAGAAACGCCTTTTGATTTTTAGAACTTTGTGAATTCATAGTTTCATTTTTTCTTATTTTTTTTTCTAAAACAGTATGGAAATATGGAAAAGTATAAACGGGGATTAACCATTTTAGAAGAAGCAAATTTTTTTATGAATGCAGTTTTCTCAAAATGTCAAAAATAAAAAAGTTTTTCCTCTTGTAAAGACAATCCGGTGACATACTGTATATCCATAACAATGTAAAAATGTATACAGTACGTAGCATGTTAAATAAAAATTAAAAAAATAACACACATACAGATGTGGGTTAATTTTTATATATTTAAAACATATAAAGAAATTCAGAAAAATTGTCATAACTTTGCTAATTATGATAGTCATTTTTCTTCGCAATGTATTTTTTAATTATTAATCTTTATGTATATATTTCTGACGATTTGTTGTATTTATATATTTATTACGTAATGATATATATTTATGTCATTATGTTAAAAAGTAATTATGTTTAGGAAACATAATTTCTAATAAAATATTTTTCTATTATTGTCATTTACCACTGTATTTTTTTTATATGTCTTTCATCACATTAGATAGAAACGGTAAGAATAATTATGTTGATTTACCTTAAAATGTTTTAAGTTATATAGAATATATGAGTAGCAAATATTCTATCAAAAAATAAATTGAAAAACAACAATATGTAGCTCTGTTTTATTCAGTTGAGGGCAATAATAAAAACTGCATGGCAAATGAGAATGAAAACAAGTAAATGCGTGATCTGCAGATTCAAATATATGCTATAATATTAACTTTTCTTTTTCAGGTTTATAGTTATGATAAAGTGTCAAATATATCACTTCTAACACAATATTTTTATTAAAAAAAGTTATTGCTACAAAAATTTAAATTTTATATTACAACAAACTGAATTTAAAAAATGTATATACCTCTGTGGCGGATACATCTCTTCAAAAAAATCTTTTGGGTATTTCGCTACTGTATTTAGCCAGAAGATCTACAAAATAAAATTATTATATTATTTTTTGTAAACACTGGTACGTTACTGGTAAGTGTATTTCTTCCCGTCGTGGGAAGTACAAAACACTTAGACCAAAGAAAAAACTAGTTTAAATAACTAAATACAACTATTCGACAACACTTTAGTTTTTTCAGCACATACGTCTATAAAAACTGTTGACATTCTGTATATCATGTTGACTTGATATTTTGTCATTTTGACAGATTGTCACCGGTTTTTAAATACGTATCTATATGTTATATACGTTTTTT